GGCCCCCTGGGGTGACACGCTGTGGGTTTGTGCTGCTGGGGGCCCTTACGGGGCCCCCTACGTGGGCCCCTGGGGGGCCCCCTGGGGTGGCACGCTGTGGTTGAGTTGCCGATGGATGGGGGCCCCTGGTTGGGGTTGTTGCGGACACCCCTTCGTGAGCAGCAGCAGCGGTGGCTCTATGTCGGGGCCCCCTCGCAGGGGCCCCTGCATGAACTGCTGCAGCAGCTTTAGCTGCAGGTGCTGCCTTGGTTGTTCTGTTGGTTTGTTGCAGCAGAGCTGATCTGCTGCTGCTTTTGGTTTGGAGAGGCAACTGCGTGCTGCTGCTGTGTTCTGTCTTGGGCCCCGTCATTGCTCTTTTAGGGTGCAGAGGGGCCCCCGAGGGGCCCCTCTTCTGCAGGGGCCTCTGCTCACCTTCTTTCCCCTTCAAGGGGGCCCCTACCGCCTTCTTTCTATCTCTATGGGGGGCCCCCTCACCCTGAGTCTCCTCCTTGGGGGCCCCCTCCTCCTTGGGGGCCCCCTTCTCCTTAGGGGCCCCCATCTCCTTGGGGGCCCCCACCTCCTTAGAGACTACCTCTTTCTCCTTAGGGGCCCCCACCTCTTTGGGGGCCCCCTCACCGTTGGGGGCCCCTTCTCTCTTGGTGTGTGCAGACCCCCTTAATGCCTCTTCTTTATCCTCGCCCTTCAACGCGTTGCCCCCTACCGGCTCATCCTTTCTAGGGGCCCCCTCTTCTCCTCCTTTAGGGGCCCCCTCTTCTTCTTTAGGGGCCCCCTTTTCTTCTTTTGGGGCCCCCTCTTCTCCTTCTTTAGGGGCCCCCTCCACTTTTTCCTGTTTAGGAGCTTTCTCTTTCTCTGCTTCTTTGGGGGCCCCCTCTTTCTCTTTTTCTTTTTTTTCTGTTTTTTTGTTTTTTGCATCTGCAACCCCTTTAAGGGCCCCCTCTCTCTGTTGCGGCTTCTCATCCCTCTCTATAGGGGGCCCCCCTACCCCTCTATCCCTCTCCGCTTCTTCGCTTGCGGGGGCCCCTTCCTCCTTGGGGGCCCCCTGCTCCGTAGGGGCCCCTGCAGCCTCCTGGGGGCCCCCCTGTTGTGGGCCCCCATCTCCTTTAGGGGCCCCCCTCTGCACTTTCTGTTGCAGCATGTGAACCCCCTCTCCCTTTTGGGGGCCCCTGTCCTCTTCAGCTGTTTCTACAGTTGACGGGGGGCCCCCTACTAGGGGGCCCCCCACCTCCTTCTTCGTATTCTCTATCTCTTTGGGGGCCCCCTCCAGCTGTCTCTCTTTATTCTCCTCTTTCTCCTCCTCCTCCTTGGGGGCCCCCCCTGTCACCTCCCAGTGAACAGTGTGCTGCTCCTTATGCATACTAGCCCTTCTGCCCACCCCCTTGGGGGCCCCCTCTTTCTCCTCCTTGGGGGCCCCCTTCTTCTCCTTGGGGGCCCCCTCCTTCTCCTCCATAGGGGCCCCCTTCTTCTCCATAGGGGCCCCCTTCACCTCCTTAGGGGCCCCCTTCTTCTCCTTAGGGGCCCCCACCTCCTCCTCTTCGGGGGCCCCCTCTTTCTTCTCTTTAGGGGCCCCCTCCTCCTCCTCTTTGGGGGCCCCCTCTTTCTTCTCCTTGGGGGCCCCCTCTTTC